CAACTAACAAACCATTTCGTTAGGGTTGAAATTTTTTAAAAAAAAAAAAAAACTAAAATTTAATCATCGGGCAACCCGTAAAAAAGGTGATCTAATGTAAGATGAGAATACCATTTTCAATTTAGTTCTTGGTTTCGAAAGATAAAAGATGAATCAATCTAAGGTAGAAAATTTAAATGCAGAAAATCTATGGATAATAAATCCACCTGAGGAAGCTTTTGTTTCTGCAGAGTGATGAATAACTGAGCTTGGAGTTGGGTGTAGCTTCTAGTAATCTGGTCCAGCACAGTTCTCAACTTACGATTCTCTTCCTGTAGTCTCCGCAATTGACTTTCAATGGAACTCAGCTGAGAACAAAACAAATATTATTTCAAACAAAAAAATAAAAAAATAAAAACAAAAACCAACACATGATAAATAATCACACAGTTTGATTTATGGTTTGCATCCCTAAGGGTATCATACAAACCTCAGCTTCATGATTTTCACCATTTTCTTCTTTTGTGAGTCCAGTACTTGCACAAGTTAAATTCAGTCCGGTCTGAATATATATACAAACATGAAAAGAAGTTAATGGAAAAGTGAGTCGCATTAAGTACACACAGTGATGCAGAATTGAAGAAATCCATGTAGGGAAAGCTCACGTTTACAGGGTGATGAGAGACGTGTGGGGGTGATCCTTGTGGATGAGTGTGATCTTGAAGTCCAACATGGTTGATATGATTGGTGTTGTTGGTTTTATGAGTAGCCGGAGATGAAGGTGATGATGAGAAGAAGTCCATTTCTTTGATGGGAGGATCGGTGTCGCGGGTTGTGTGATCGAAAGGGGGATTGAGGAAGTCGCCGCCGGAGCTTAAAAAGGTCAATTCACGGTGGTGTCGGTTCTCCATGTGTTTAATCAGTGAAATGCAGAGAGAGAGAGAGAAAGAAGAAAAGTTAGCGTTGGCAGTGAGATGAACGAAGGAAATGAGATTAAATGTGGCAATGCACCCCCTCCCTCCCTCCTTGGACCTTGAGGTAGGGGTCCCACAATAAATTTAATATGGAAAAAAGGTAATGTTGTAATGTAAGCAAGAGGTCTACCAAAAAGGTTCTAAGGGATTCACAACTCAGACGAGGGACCAGCCGTTTTTTCGCCACAATTGACGTCACCATAATTAACCCTCATAGGGTAGGACCATAGGGGGTTTACTTATTAGCCAGGGTTTTCATATTAGTAAGTAACCACAGTAAAAAGATGTTTTATTTCTTCTTTCAACTTTATAACTACTGTTACACAAGAGAATTCAACCATGTTACTTCATTCTCTACAGTTGTCAACTTCCAATTTGAATCTCATAAAACAAGCCATTTCAATCCTTAATTAAAAAATTAACTTCATAATCATATATGTATATGTAAACTAAATTATATTTAATATTGTTAAAAGTTAACGGTGATAAAATATGGGAGCTAAGACGTAGAGGGTGTGACAATGAAAAATGGAAAAGAAAAGAGATATTTTATAGGGATTTGAGAACGGCGTTAAGAATAACGGCGGTTAGGGTTGGGGGAATGGATCCACGTGGGGTAGTCCCATAAGGTCAACCCAGTTGACGGCACGGCTCTTTCTATCGTCGACGGTAGTTGGAATGAGTGGGACCCACAGGATTGGAAAACCTAATCCCACTGACTTTGAAGGCAACCACGACGTCATTGGGATCAACCATCCATCTCAATCGAGGTTTATTGAAGACCCAACCTTTGTATTCCTTCCTATTTTTTTAGGACAACCTTCTATTTTCCTTTTATTTTTATCTATTCTTAATTACCCGATTACAATTTTATATTTGTCATTTGCATAATAAAGGTTTCTAGTAAAAGGTTCACACAATATATTGAGATAAACTTAAAACAACATTAACAGGATGTAAGTTTGAAAGTCACAAAACCTTAAACTAAATTTGTTGCTAGTAATGTATGAAAGGTTAGAAATGACATTCAACTCGGTTAAATAAATTAATATATTGTTAAAATAAATACTTTAGTAATACGTATTTCCATAAAAAAAAAATGCACAAATAACAAATCTACTTTTTCGGTAAAAAAAAGTATTCTCCACAGAAGTTATTAGATTCTTTTATAGAAAATTAAAAATGGTAACAAGGGCATATGGCGTATTTTCATTTCTGAAAATGAAAAAAAAATTAATATAAGAGAGTGGAACAATAAACGATGGTGTAAAATATATTTTGACAGTTGTTTTTATATAAAGTAACTAAATTTTAACAAAAAAATATATTAAAAGTGTAGTACACTCCTATTTGAAAAAGAAAAGTGAAAGATATATTTTAAGGTATCTGGAATAAATACTCAAGGGAAAAGTGTTCAATTATGCGCCAAAAACAGATTAATAAACAATAATATTTTTTAACTAATTAAATAATCCTAAAAAATTTCATAAAAGAGTATGTGAAAACATACTTGATCTTCCAACTGTAAAGTATTTTATGTTTTTTTTGTTATTTTTTCGTTTGATGAGAATAAAGAGAAAGAATTTGAAATAAAACTTACTGTTTATAAAAGAGAATTATATTTTTTTTATATAGCTTATGTTACTTACTTAATTAATTTTTAATATTAATATTTTCTGATATATACGCTTTAATCATAAATTAAATTAATGAAATCACTTTAATATTTAATTAATAAAATATAATAATTTTAACACATTTAATTATATATATGTATATACCAAAATTGCTACAAGGAAATATTTTTTCTTTTGTAACAAGTCAATTTAAATTCGAATAAAGTTTCTATATTTGTTCTCAAAGTATTGTATAATTTCGTAAATTTACAAATTATATATGTAGTAATTTTTTTCAAAATTAAAACGGTAAAACCTTGCACTTAGCATGATTAATTTACCCTGTAATCTTTATTATCTTTATCCTTATTTCCTTTGTGAATTTGATGAGAAAAATATAAAGTTATTTAAATTTGACTCATTAACAAAATTTAAAGTTATTTAACAAAACAAAAAGTAAATGGGTCATACAATTTTTTGTTCGATGTGTTGGAATTTAGTTTGAAGACAGTTACGGGGAAGAAGACTCAATAAAATAAATAATTTTCGTGTGACAATATAGTTTTCCAAGCAACTTTTAATTCCTAAGTTTTTGTAAAATTGTATTGCGACCTATTTTCAAGAACTGTGTAGTTATGTTTATTCAGCTTCTATTTTATTCTCCCATTCTCAACATGCTTGCAAAGTTGCCGCTATAAACTTCTCAAAAGGTTGGTATCTTTTTTATTCCTCCGAAATTAAAAACTCCATTAATGTATCATAAGTTTAATTCTTGTGAATTTACATATATAAATTATATTTTACTGGTTAAAAAATTAATATATATTCTTACTGCCTATATGATCATATTTTATAATATGACACATATTATTATCCAGAAATGGATCTTGATCGTGTTTTTGACTAATTTTTTTTACACCCATATAATTTAAAAAGTAAAAAATAGAACTTTCTTATTGGTTCTCTCATTTGAAGTCAGTCACGTCTTACACACAATCGATCTTAATGTAAAACCATTTATTGATCTTAATGCATATATTATATTTCATTCCATATAAGACAATTAATGTTTTGTTGGATTGATATAACCAGCATGCGTGCTACTGGAAGGGGATCACATAAAAAATAAATTGTGAGTTTAATTGGTCAATGACTTAATGGTTCTGAAATCTGGATTTGATATGAAAATCCATGTAGTTTTTCTTCTCCTCGTGGAGTAGTAAATAATCATATAGAAAACTCAAGTATGTTCAAAGATGGCAGAGAATGACCAATAATATATAAGAAATTAATGCCATATTTCTCTTTCCATGTGAATAAGATGTGTGCAAGCTTTAGGAATATCTTCAAGTCAATGCCAAGTTACACAAATTTCTTTTAAATTCCTCTCTATCTTGTACATCACTTTGACAAACTTGCCTATCCAAATACTTTAAATTTACAACTCATTTTCATTGATCACGTCGTGCTTACCAACTAGCACCATATTCATTAATGTTTCTGAGCATTTAGCGTCACCTACAAGGTCGAACAGTGCCCTTTTTAATGTTTCTTCTCACAGATTACTCCCTTTATTCCAAACTTCATAATTTCCATTTCTTTTACATATATTAATTTTTTAAAATTAACTTCAAAATATATATAAGAAAAAAAAAGTCAATTAGTTACTGTCAAAATCGAGTATGCTCGAGAAGAAAAAGTAAAATTAAGATGCTTTTATTGATTCATCTTCTTTTTCTTCCGTCATTTTTCTTTTTTTTTTTTTTAATTTTNTCGGTGCAAGTACGTGTCACCACGTGTGTGTGTGAATTTCTTCAGTTATCGCTGGAGTGCATTATGTGCTGTGTTATCTGCAGCTAGATAAGACTTTTCCTTCATATGCGAGGGTCAAGTCAATTTTATCTGGAAGTACTTGTTGGTATTAATTGTCGTTTAGTTGAAATGGGAATTTCATATATAGTCTGAGCTCTGAACTGTGAAGGTCCTCTCACAGGGGCAAACAAATAATGAGATTTGTTAAGGGTTATATTCATGCCATTAATTAAATAGATATAAAAAGTATAAAGTATTTTAGAATAAATTAATTAATAAGAAAAAAAGATAAATGTTTAACATATTTGAAATAAATAATAACATTTAATTAAATATCATAAATACCTGGTAGCTGTCTGGAAAAACCCAAATAGTAATTAAACTGATATATCATAATTGTTTGAAAGAATGGATATTTTTATATACGCCGAGTAGAAAGAGTTTGAAAAACGACAGTGAATGAAAATAACACGCTTTTCAAATTTAAGTGATGCACGCTACCCTGTTCCTTCACTGACTAAAGAACAGAGAAAAAAATAGCACACAGACACAACTAACAAACCATTTCGTTAGGGTTGAAATTTTTAAAAAAAAAAAAAAACTAAAATTTAATCATCGGGCAACCCGTAAAAAAGGTGATCTAATGTAAGATGAGAATACCATTTTCAATTTAGTTCTTGGTTTCGAAAGATAAAAGATGAATCAATCTAAGGTAGAAAATTTAAATGCAGAAAATCTATGGATAATAAATCCACCTGAGGAAGCTTTTGTTTCTGCAGAGTGATGAATAACTGAGCTTGGAGTTGGGTGTAGCTTCTAGTAATCTGGTCCAGCACAGTTCTCAACTTACGATTCTCTTCCTGTAGTCTCCGCAATTGACTTTCAATGGAACTCAGCTGAGAACAAAACAAATATTATTTCAAACAAAAAAATAAAAAAATAAAAACAAAAACCAACACATGATAAATAATCACACAGTTTGATTTATGGTTTGCATCCCTAAGGGTATCATACAAACCTCAGCTTCATGATTTTCACCATTTTCTTCTTTTGTGAGTCCAGTACTTGCACAAGTTAAATTCAGTCCGGTCTGAATATATATACAAACATGAAAAGAAGTTAATGGAAAAGTGAGTCGCATTAAGTACACACAGTGATGCAGAATTGAAGAAATCCATGTAGGGAAAGCTCACGTTTACAGGGTGATGAGAGACGTGTGGGGGTGATCCTTGTGGATGAGTGTGATCTTGAAGTCCAACATGGTTGATATGATTGGTGTTGTTGGTTTTATGAGTAGCCGGAGATGAAGGTGATGATGAGAAGAAGTCCATTTCTTTGATGGGAGGATCGGTGTCGCGGGTTGTGTGATCGAAAGGGGGATTGAGGAAGTCGCCGCCGGAGCTTAAAAAGGTCAATTCACGGTGGTGTCGGTTCTCCATGTGTTTAATCAGTGAAATGCAGAGAGAGAGAGAGAAAGAAGAAAAGTTAGCGTTGGCAGTGAGATGAACGAAGGAAATGAGATTAAATGTGGCAATGCACCCCCTCCCTCCCTCCTTGGACCTTGAGGTAGGGGTCCCACAATAAATTTAATATGGAAAAAAGGTAATGTTGTAATGTAAGCAAGAGGTCTACCAAAAAGGTTCTAAGGGATTCACAACTCAGACGAGGGACCAGCCGTTTTTTCGCCACAATTGACGTCACCATAATTAACCCTCTTAGGGTAGGACCATAGGGGGTTTACTTATTAGCCAGGGTTTTCATATTAGTAAGTAACCACAGTAAAAAGATGTTTTATTTCTTCTTTCAACTTTATAACTACTGTTACACAAGAGAATTCAACCATGTTACTTCATTCTCTACAGTTGTCAACTTCCAATTTGAATCTCATAAAACAAGCCATTTCAATCCTTAATTAAAAAATTAACTTCATAATCATATATGTATATGTAAACTAAATTATATTTAATATTGTTAAAAGTTAACGGTGATAAAATATGGGAGCTAAGACGTAGAGGGTGTGACAATGAAAAATGGAAAAGAAAAGAGATATTTTATAGGGATTTGAGAACGGCGTTAAGAATAACGGCGGTTAGGGTTGGGGGAATGGATCCACGTGGGGTAGTCCCATAAGGTCAACCCAGTTGACGGCACGGCTCTTTCTATCGTCGACGGTAGTTGGAATGAGTGGGACCCACAGGATTGGAAAACCTAATCCCACTGACTTTGAAGGCAACCACGACGTCATTGGGATCAACCATCCATCTCAATCGAGGTTTATTGAAGACCCAACCTTTGTATTCCTTCCTATTTTTTTAGGACAACCTTCTATTTTCCTTTTATTTTTATCTATTCTTAATTACCCGATTACAATTTTATATTTGTCATTTGCATAATAAAGGTTTCTAGTAAAAGGTTCACACAATATATTGAGATAAACTTAAAACAACATTAACAGGATGTAAGTTTGAAAGTCACAAAACCTTAAACTAAATTTGTTGCTAGTAATGTATGAAAGGTTAGAAATGACATTCAACTCGGTTAAATAAATTAATATATTGTTAAAATAAATACTTTAGTAATACGTATTTCCATAAAAAAAAATGCACAAATAACAAATCTACTTTTTCGGTAAAAAAAAGTATTCTCCACAGAAGTTATTAGATTCTTTTATAGAAAATTAAAAATGGTAACAAGGGCATATGGCGTATTTTCATTTCTGAAAATGAAAAAAAAATTAATATAAGAGAGTGGAACAATAAACGATGGTGTAAAATATATTTTGACAGTTGTTTTTATATAAAGTAACTAAATTTTAACAAAAAAATATATTAAAAGTGTAGTACACTCCTATTTGAAAAAGAAAAGTGAAAGATATATTTTAAGGTATCTGGAATAAATACTCAAGGGAAAAGTGTTCAATTATGCGCCAAAAACAGATTAATAAACAATAATATTTTTTAACTAATTAAATAATCCTAAAAAATTTCATAAAAGAGTATGTGAAAACATACTTGATCTTCCAACTGTAAAGTATTTTATGTTTTTTTTGTTATTTTTTCGTTTGATGAGAATAAAGAGAAAGAATTTGAAATAAAACTTACTGTTTATAAAAGAGAATTATATTTTTTTTATATAGCTTATGTTACTTACTTAATTAATTTTTAATATTAATATTTTCTGATATATACGCTTTAATCATAAATTAAATTAATAAAATCACTTTAATATTTAATTAATAAAATATAATAATTTTAACACATTTAATTATATATATGTATATACCAAAATTGCTACAAGGAAATATTTTTTCTTTTGTAACAAGTCAATTTAAATTCGAATAAAGTTTCTATATTTGTTCTCAAAGTATTATATAATTTCGTAAATTTACAAATTATATATGTAGTAATTTTTTTCAAAATTAAAACGGTAAAACCTTGCACTTAGCATGATTAATTTACCCTGTAATCTTTATTATCTTTATCCTTATTTCCTTTGTGAATTTGATGAGAAAAATATAAAGTTATTTAAATTTGACTCATTAACAAAATTTAAAGTTATTTAACAAAACAAAAAGTAAATGGGTCATACAATTTTTTGTTCGATGTGTTGGAATTTAGTTTGAAGACAGTTACGGGGAAGAAGACTCAATAAAATAAATAATTTTCGTGTGACAATATAGTTTTCCAAGCAACTTTTAATTCCTAAGTTTTTGTAAAATTGTATTGCGACCTATTTTCAAGAACTGTGTAGTTATGTTTATTCAGCTTCTATTTTATTCTCCCATTCTCAACATGCTTGCAAAGTTGCCGCTATAAACTTCTCAAAAGGTTGGTATCTTTTTTATTCCTCCGAAATTAAAAACTCCATTAATGTATCATAAGTTTAATTCTTGTGAATTTACATATATAAATTATATTTTACTGGTTAAAAAATTAATATATATTCTTACTGCCTATATGATCATAATTGATAATATGACACGTATTATTATCCAGAAATGGATCTTGATCGTGTTTTTGACTAATTTTTTTTACACCCATATAATTTAAAAAGTAAAAAATAGAACTTTCTTATTGGTTCTCTCATTTGAAGTCAGTCACGTCTTACACACAATCGATCTTAATGTAAAACCATTTATTGATCTTAATGCATATATTATATTTCATTCCATATAAGACAATTAATGTTTTGTTGGATTGATATAACCAGCATGCGTGCTACTGGAAGGGGATCACATAAAAAATAAATTGTGAGTTTAATTGGTCAATGACTTAATGGTTCTGAAATCTGGATTTGATATGAAAATCCATGTAGTTTTTCTTCTCCTCGTGGAGTAGTAAATAATCATATAGAAAACTCAAGTATGTTCAAAGATGGCAGAGAATGACCAATAATATATAAGAAATTAATGCCATATTTCTCTTTCCATGTGAATAAGATGTGTGCAAGCTTTAGGAATATCTTCAAGTCAATGCCAAGTTACACAAATTTCTTTTAAATTCCTCTCTATCTTGTACATCACTTTGACAAACTTGCCTATCCAAATACTTTAAATTTACAACTCATTTTCATTGATCACGTCGTGCTTACCAACTAGCACCATATTCATTAATGTTTCTGAGCATTTAGCGTCACCTACAAGGTCGAACAGTGCCCTTTTTAATGTTTCTTCTCACAGATTACTCCCTTTATTCCAAACTTCATAATTTCCATTTCTTTTACATATATTAATTTTTTAAAATTAACTTCAAAATATATATAAGAAAAAAAAAGTCAATTAGTTACTGTCAAAATCGAGTATGCTCGAGAAGAAAAAGTAAAATTAAGATGCTTTTATTGATTCATCTTCTTTTTCTTCCGTCATTTTTCTTTTTTTTTTTTAATTTTCTAAATTCAAAAAAATCAACACATTACAAACAAAATGGATAATTCATCTTCAGACCAACTAAAACTTCCATAATCAAAACTCTACTTTTATCCAACATAGAACCAGATTGAGGATTTTAATAAGAATGTATCAGGGACGGTAGTGGATGATTCTTCTTCCCAAGCAGCAGAGCTCTTGCAATAGTAATGTCTTTGTCACAGTGGTTGGTCAATCCAAAGATCACAGTTGTTTCAGAATCACACAATCTGTGGTGGAGGTGAGACAACTCTTTGTCGCGATAGGTTGTCTCTTCTAGAGTCATGATGAGTCTGGATTCTCTCTAACATTGATTGATTTTGAGTTGATATGGCTTCCATTGTGACTCGTAGGTAGTTTGCGGTTTTACACACATTCAATTGGTAATTTGTGATGCATTTGTGGTTCGTAATATATGATTGCTTATATAGAAGAGAGATGAAAAATTCATTGATAAATAAAATTTTAAACATTCATCTATAAAATTTTCAATAATTATAATTTTTCGATGACTCTTTTTTATCTAAAACTCTGTCTATAATTTTAAGAATTTTTATAATGTTTAAAATGAAAATCATTAATTAATTATCTTAAAACAAGAAAATAACACGATTACTTGAATATGTATATTAAAAACTTTCATGCATTGATCATTTCTTTCTTGCAAAAGATTATCTTTCTTAATTATTTGACAGACCAGGCATTAAAAATTGATAACAAATTAAAAGTTTGATTGTTATTTTTTTGCTAGGAAGTTTGTGTATTCCCTCTTTTCTTGTCTCTTCCCAATTTATTATGATAAGGGATTGAGTGTGATGTTACAAGAAGCGTGGGAAACTCAGACCTTACAACATGATAGTACTAATTGGGTCTACCAACGTGGGTTAGAAACAAAAGTAAGCCATTCCAACATCCAAGGATGGAGATAAAATTATTATCCAAAAAGTAAAGGAAATGTAGTTAAATGCACCGGTACCAATTACATGATGGGTTGTTTCAGACTCTTTTCTAACATGAATAAATCGTTATATGGCTAAACAGTGGCTGGGTCAGAACGTTGGAAATGCATTGTGCATATCAATTTTTTTAGTGATGCGTTTTTACATTTTTTTAATTAACAAAAAATAACATTTTATTTTCATATGTGTGAAAATTAGTACGAAACATAATTAGATTTGTGAAAAAAAATTCAAAATAATTAAAACCAATTCATAATAACTTTAAACCAAACCACATTAAATTCATTTCAAATTACTGATTTCCTTTATATCTATTTTTTTAGATTATAATTCCAATTTATTTAATTAGATATATGAATTCAATATTTATTTCATGTACTTTTAGTTGAAGCATTTGTTTAACTAGGTTTTTATTAATCTACCTTTTTTTCGTACTAAAAAAAATAAATTTTTTTATATTTATTTGATGTGTTTCTTTTATAAGGGTTTATTAGTCTATGATATAATATATGACATTAAAGTGAAAAAAAAAAGCAGTTCTTTATTCATCTCTCTCATACAGAAAAGCATACTAACAAATAATAATTGAAACCAAAACCATAAGGTAAGTGTCTATTTGTCCTTATTACCTAAACTCTCATTCCAAATTATCCGAAAAAAACACCCTCATTCGCGCA